CCCCCAAAACCCCAAAACCCCAAAACCCCTACTTCCCACTCAAAATTGAAAATCCCCCAAAACCCCATTCCACACACCCAAAAATCCTCCTAATTCTAAACCTCTATTTTAAAATCCAAAAACTTAGCTAATCATTTTCTTCTGGATCTTAAGCAGCTTCTTCTTTATCTCATTGTTTGAGAACTCTTCGAGGTCGTAGTAGTCAGGGGCTATTTCCAACAGCCATTTAGGATTTATTTCGGAGACTGTTCTGATGTAGTTTTTGGATGTCAGGATGAACTCGTGGTATAGTACCCATTCAGGCTTGTGGTCTATAGCAGTGGATGGGTGGATTAGGACTACTTTGTTGTCCTTTACGGTCATGTAGTGGCCGGCTCTCTCTTGGTGAGCGACTTGCATGAAGAAAGCAGATACTATAGACTTTTTGATCCTGTCGAGGTATTCTTTAGGACGCTTAGGGGACAGTTCTATTTTGTACCCAAAGTTGTTCATTTGGTTTACTAGTTGAGCTCTAATACTGCTTGCAGATTTCATTGATCTGAAGTTAATGAAGTTATTCCATCACCATTTTTGATCTTCTTTATTGTATTTATAATTCTCGAATGCATTTAAAAGAGTCAAATGATCACCATCAGGATGTGCAAATTTAGATTTAGCAATATCAGCTTTCTTGATACATTCTTTTGGTCTCATAAATACATTTGGAACACTCAATACAGAAACAATAGAGCAAATTTCACCTGAGCATTTTCTTTCAACAGAATCAAGCAACATTTTAGCAAGATTTGGGTCTAAAGGCAACTGAGACATTTCATCTCCTAACTTGGTAAGATCTCCTTCATCATTTAGAGCCCCAAGGTAGTTCAGTTCTTCTAATGCTCTCATAAGCGTTTCTGGAGCAGGAGGATCCATAAAGTCAAAATGAACAAGATCATCAATGCCTAGCTTTTTCAATGTTAATACAACTTGCCCAAGATTAGACCTAAGAACTTCTGGGATAGTGTTGTTATCTAGCTCCTTTTTATAAGAATGCTCTGTATAAAGTCTAAAGCATTTTCCTGGTTTGGTTCTTCCAGCTCTTCCGCTTCTTTGTTTTGCACTAGCCTTACTAATTGGGGAGACAAGAAGAGATTCAATCCTTAATCTTGGATTATACACCTTCTGTTTAGAAAATCCAGGGTCTACCACATACACAATTCCATCGATAGTTAAAGATGTTTCTGCAATATTGGTTGATACAATACATTTTCTTCCCTCAATTCCATGTTTGTTCCTTGGGGGAGGATCCTCAAATATTCTCTGCTGCATGGCAGGTGGAAGAGAAGAGTATAGCGGAATCACACTGAGATCCCCAACACCATCCAACTTTTTGACTTCATCTTTAATCTCAGCACAAGCATTCTCAATTTCTTCTTCTCCTGTTAAAAATAATAAAATGTCACCTTTTTCCTCAAAGGCATGAATTTGAACAATAGTCTTGATCGCCCCCGCAAAGTAGTCCTCTTCTGGTTCTTCTGTATAGAATATCTCCACAGGATACATTCTTCCTGGAACATCAAGCAAAGGAGCACCTTCGAAATATTTTTGAAATTTATCAGCATCCATTGTGGCACTCATCACAACCAACTTCAGGTCAGGTCTGTTAGGTAAGACTTCCTTGATGAGTCCAAAGAGAATATCAGTATTCAGGATCCTCTCATGAGCCTCATCCAAACATATGATTGAATATTTAGACAAGAGGGGATCTACCATAGCTTCTCTCAAGAGCATTCCATCTGTCATATATTTTAATCGTGTTTTTGCAGAAGTCTTGTCATCGAACCTAATGCTATACCCTACTTCTTCCCCTAGTCTCACATCCATTTCTTCAGCTACTCTTTTGGCTACACTCATTGCTGCTACTCTCCTTGGCTGTGTACATGCAACGTTCTTGTCTCCTCCAATGCCGCTCTCAAGGAGGAACTGAGGAACTTGTGTTGTTTTCCCACTTCCTGTTTCTCCTTGAAGAATCACTATCTGGTTTTCCTTAACAAGGTCAATAAGAGTTTCATATGCTTCATAGACAGGTAGTTCTTTCCTCTTTTCCAAGATATCAAAATACTTAAAGCTGTAATCTTTGTGGGTCCATGGGTTTACTTTTGCCTCTTCTCTTTTTGATCTTTTCACTTTTCTTCCATCAGAAGTGTCTTTACTATCAAAATTCTTGTTCATCTTTGTTTTACCAAGGATAGAAGCAGAGGTATCACTCTCATCCTCTCTCTTCCTCTTAAGCCCAACAGACACAGGAAGTGAATCCTTAGAAGTTTTCACTGAGAACCTAGACTTCTTTCACCTCTTTCTATCTTTCGCACCTTCGCTCATTTTTAATTAATATTTAATATCTCTTCAATTATTTTCCTCAAGCACGGGGTTTTGGGGTTTTGGGGTTTTGGGGTTTTGGGG